ATACAGATATGGTGTTTGCTCCTATGGTCCAAAACACAAAACCATTAGTTAAAAAAGTTTGTCAATTTCTAAAGTTCACTGGCTATTGTTAGTATTGCTAACTGTACTACTGTAACTAGGATACTATATCTGCCTTAATCACGTGTTTTCCCTTGAGTAATAATATCGGAAAGCACTTTGGTAATAAACTCACCAAAAGCCCTATATTGAAGGACAGAGGACAGTGCCAAATGGAAACCAATATCCCACTCTCAATCAATAGAGAAGGGACAAACTTGGGACACACAAATCAAGCCTACCTGACACAGAAGAGATATCTAAAGAACATACTCTTTACAGAGAGGTTCTAAAAGCAATGATACAGCTACCTGCTATCAAACTTTCACAGAAAACTATCACAGAAGTCAAATTAGAGTTCTTGCTGAAATAGTAAATGACAAAAAGAAGGAGCAAAATGCTTTCTCAGTCCCCGAGCCTACCCAGAACAAACACAGGAGACATCAGCATTGAAGAAATTGGAAGCCACACACCTGAAGTCTGTGAAATAAAAGCAACTGAATTAAAGAAACACTATTGTGCACAGCAGTGTCTGGACAGGATATCATGTCTGCAACTTGTACTATGAAGAACCACTATGAAAACAACAATATACAATGTATTAATTATTGAAACTGTCCTATTAATCAGTTTTGAAACTGTCTCATTGCTATTTGTTTTTCAATAAAATTAATAAAAAATAAATAAAAATTTAAAAAATGAATTAAAGAAACAACTGCAGAAGGGTATAGAGGAAATCAGATCTGAAATCATCTCCCAGGTAAAAAAAAAAAAAAGATAATTATAATGAAAGAATGACTAATCTGGTTCTCCATATCATTCCCACTACCCACAAGATTCTAGAAGGGCCACAGCCCCTTCCCAACCTTTCCCCACGACTAAGCACAAACTCTCTTGGGGGCTTCAGGTTTTGGATCTACAATTTTGCTGTCACAGCCAAACCATTCTATGATGCCTCAAGGGTGATCTGAAGAAATTTCTCACCTCTGATCCGATGCTAGCAAATGCTTTTGAGTAGCTTAAGAAAACCCTAACCACAGCCTGCTTTACACATCCCTAACCCTGACAAGCCATTTCTCCTGCATCTCCATAGTGCAAGATCTCAGGCCTTGGGACTCAACACAACCTGCAAGATATTCCTTACTTTTCATAGCATATTTTTCAGAACTACTTGAGTCTGTTTACCAGAGTTGGCTGCTTTTCCTTAAATTAGGCAACTGCTGCCCTCCTAATTACAAAAACTCAGAAAATAATTTTCCATCAGCCTCTTCACGTTTGGTCTTCACATGGATCACCAGACCCATTAAACCACAGGGCTTTCTAACTTGTCTCTTCTTCTAGAACTCAAGTCTTACACTCTACCCTGTTACAGCCTTTTGTATCTTTCTACCACAGCTCCCTATAAATCTTGCTATACTTATGCCTGAGCCTGGCACACAGCAATACTCTAGGATCACTCTTCCATGAAGATGGTGGATTTTCCTTAATGGGTTTCACCATCTAACCTCCATCCACATCCTTGGAGCCTCTATCTGTTTGTTGACAGCAGTTCCTCTAAAATATCTCCTCATCCGGCTTCTTATGCTGTAATAGGGGACTATCGAGAAAGAATGTGCTTCCCCTCCACAGAAGTGATCAAAGCCACTCCACTTCCAAGTGGTACCCCCTCACACATGCTGATCTTACTGCATTGACCAGGGTACTAACTTTAGCAAAGGATGGAACTATTAACATAATACTGATTCTAAATATGCCTACAATAGCCAGCATTCCAACATACATATCTGATAAGACAGAGGATGTTTATATCAGACAAATGAAAGCCCATTGTAAACCTGGTCCATGACCATTGCGATAGCCTTCTTCCGACCAAGGTCTCAGTGATGCATTGCTCAGGCATCAAAGTGATAAAGGATATGCCAGTGCAGGAAGCCACGTGGCAGTTGACCAGGCCTGCGAAGTGACCTTAGGTTCCCCTCACCCACATAGCTTCTACCCTTATCAGTAACAAAACCAAAAATAATTCTCCATAGTCCTTGGCTGAAAAGGTAACCTTGAGTCTCCCTTCTCCACCCAGATATCTCTCTTCCCATTGTCAGCCTCCCCAGCCTCCACTATGGAGAGGAATAGAACCCTCAAGAGCGAGAAGCCAACTTCCACAAACTGGTGGTTCTTACACAGAGAATTAGCCCTCCCAGACCTCTGCTGTACCTCTCCTTGCTGAGCTGTATTCCCAATTTCATGCAGGGCCTATTTCTCTTATAAAGACAGAGAGCAAGAGGCCACCTGTCTGTGAAGAATGGCAAATTGACTGTGCCCATAGGTTGTGCCCATACAGAATGTGGAGTCAGCTGAATTTCAGTTATCAGTCACTTACAGCTGAGCTCCAGACCTTAAAACATGGGCTATTTAGAGCTCACTGTCTTTCTTTATGAGACTGTTTACACTTTCATGCTGAGTATGTCTAAATGGGATAAATGGCACTATAGCACTGAGCGCAGCTTCTGGAAGGGGAGGACATTCAGCAAGTGTTGGCTCACGTCCTCCATCCTTGCCACTTTCCTGGGGCTGGTCCTCCCAACGCTGCTTCCCCAGTCTATGTGTGTAACCATTTAGCCATGTCCTCCTCCCTCAGGATTATCCTTCATCCTTCAGAAAGTAAGAAAATACTTTTTGCCTTTTATTTTGAGTCATATATAAACCAAACAAATATATATCCTGATGGGGCAACAGAAGACAAATTCATTTTGAGACCTATATATTTTAAAACACTGACGTTCATTTTAAAAGTGTTTTGATCTCGGGGACAACCCACTTGGGCCCCCTCTTCTCCCTCTCTCAGACAGGAGCTTTCTTTCACTCAATAAATATATTCTGCTTATAAAAAAGTGTTTTGATATCTCTAAAATAAATTTTGTCATTAAAATGGTTTAGTGGGATTATTTTTAAGAATTACTAAAATGTTTTTCTATCTTAGGATAATAAAATTTTCTTCCCTAACTTTAATAATTTTTAATATGAATCTTATGACTCCTTATCAAAATTATTGAAGATTGTTATAATTTACAACCATATTTTTATGTCACAATTGTTCTCTAAGTGCCTTTAATATTTTAATTAGATATTAAGTACAGGAGAAATGCAGAATTTCCTGACTCCTATTTAGTGTGACTATCTATTAAACATAATAACAATAATTCTTTTTTTGTATTTGATGTCTCCATTTATAAAACACTTCTAACACAGTATCTTACCAAATCTTCCCTGTAATACCCTGAGGTAAGAATTGTCATTAGTATTTTTATTATTTTTTAAAATAATT